ATAAACAGTTGGCTAGTTTAGAACCTTTCGAGTCCGTCAACATGGAGTGTAAGAATTCCGGAATAATGAATTTTAGGAATTTTCAAATGACAGATTCTGGCATTCACGATCACCGGATTATATGGATAGTGTATCAAGCAAGCTTACAGTCGACGAGAAAAATAAATTTAGACAATTCATCATGCATACACTCAACAAATTAAGGACGAACTACATGTAGAGGAATTTTATTTTTTCCACTATTATTAATAATACATGTATTTTGTCAATATATGTATGTAGAAAAATAATCGTACATGTAATCTTTACAATTATCTAAATGAAATATATGAAGATAACGAACAGTATTCAGGCTCAAAAGTCCATCAAACAATACAAAATAGGAGCAGAGCAAACACGGGCCTCCAAACATCAGAAGTGGGGTCAGGTGCCATGGAGGAGTGAGCATCCCCTGCCGACCGGTCACACCCACCGTGTGCTCCTTGTCATGGTCGGGAAATAACAAAAAAAATCTGTCGATAATTCAGTGTGTAAATAATGGCCTAACAATTTGTATGAAAAACGTCAGTCAGCATTTGACTCAATGATAAATTGTATTTGCTGACAAGGTCATTGTATCGACCATAGAACTTATGAAATGATGACTAAAACAATTAATAGAGTCAGCCCAATTTTCCATTGATAAAAAATTGAACAAATTTAATTGGAATAACACCGAGAATATCCATCAGCCTTGGTTTTTAAATGAAACAAAATATTCAGGATTTTGCGGATATTTAATGAACCTGAACAGTCAGGACTTTGTTGTCAGTATCTGCAGCTTATATTACCACCTCTTTTCCTGTTCATTTTTCTGCCTCGATTTTGGAAAATTAATTAAATTTCGGAAGTTACTCTAAAGAACTCTCGACCATTCCGAAAGGAGAGCTATTTCAAGTTCAACGAAGTGTGTTGGGTTGGTTTTGCGTTGCTGAATTATGTTTTTGGTGCATGCCCAACGCTTGCTTTATTGGATGGATTAAGGTCAGGTGATCTCACTGACCAATGAAAAAGGTGGGGATTATGAACAGTGCTTGATTTAAAAAAAAATCCACAAACAATACAAATCTGTGAACAGAGCATAAAACACAGTCCCTTCAAAATTCCTGAGGTGCGATCAGGTGCCTAGGAGAAGTTAGCATCCCTTTCTGACCGGTCAGCCCTATGTATTGATCAGGTAGAAAACATTCCGTAGTAAAATCAAGTATAAAAACAGTTCTAACAATAAGGATGAAAAACGTCAGCCAAAATAAGACCCAATGATAGGTAAGATTTGTTAATGAAATATATGGAGATAACGAACAGTTTTCAATCTCAAAAGTCCATTAGACAGTACAAAATAAGAGCAGAGAAAACACGGACCTCCAAAACATCAGAGGTGGGATCAGGTGCCATGGAGGAGTGAGCATCCCTTGCCGACCTGTCACACCCGCCGTGTGCTCCTTGTCATGAAATAAAAAAAGTAATTATAACAACCATAGAATTTACAAAATGCTGATTTTAAATGAGGTTGTTGAAGTCCATGTAACATCAATTTATCTGTCAGTGGCCTGCCTCGGTTTGAAAATTGATCGTACTCAGAACATGCTCTTGAGTATCGAATACGTTGGGAGGCGTAAACATCATATGCAGGTGATAGCGAATATTACTCCATAAAAAAGAAAAGTTGACGATGGAAAAGCTGAAGTAAACTCGTTTGTCAAAAACTTAGTTGTTAGTTGGCCCTTATCGTCTAAAGTAAGTAAAATATAAAAGTATGAAACAGATGTGGCAGACTTTGTGGTGACTTTTATTTCATGTTCACTGGGATATATCGAGTCGATATATGAATGGAAGTAACTATTGCTAATTGATAACACGTCGTTGAAATATCTAAATGTCGACTTGAAGGCCACAGCAAGTGTTTGTTTTTTTTTCCATAAAAACAATATGCAAACAAATAAATAAATTCTGCTTTATAGGAATATAAAAACAAGTTGGCTTATATCTAATCCATCTCTATGATTGTTTCCTCTTCCAAATATTGACCACTGTCATCCATTAAAATTAAATGTCGCCGATGGCGCCAGCATAATGCCGTACAAAAGACTAATTTGTTAACAAAGTATCAAAACCTGTTCCTTTAGAAAATAGCCAATGAGTATTCAAGACAACCATTTCAGATGAATGCAGATAACGCCAAACTTTTAATAACAAAACTACAGGAAACGGAGTACAAATCAAGAGTGCGATTGAATAACAATTCATGAACATGTACAGACGCTCAGTTATGACCCCCAAAATACACCATAATAAAGTTATATTGAAAAAAAAAATAAGTAGCGCTTAACTTTTTTTGTTGAGTATATTTTTCGGACCTAATAGTTACTTAGGTCGAAATGACTTTACCGAGCATAGAATTGAGATAAGAACGGTGACGCAAAACCAGTTACCTCCGAGAATTACCATTATCTCAGCGAAATAATGCCTTACGTGAGATAAATCACGTTACACAAAGTAGTGATCGAAACGAGTAGCTCACCTTGGGAATCGCCTATCGTTCTCGTTAAAAAAAGCTTTTTTCCGTAGGTTTTTCCATCTATTATCGAAGTTTAAATTCCGTCACTGTCAAAAACGCTTATTTGCTACATAGAGTGGACGAAGCGTTTGATTCATTGCCAGGTGCAGAGTACTTTTGCACTAGTTTTAGCTAGTGGTTACTGGCAAGTTAAAAATAAACGAAAAATTCTTCGCTGCTTACAAAGGACTTATTGAATTTTTCAGTCACTTTTGGACTTTTTAATAATCCTGCAACATTCGAACGAACGGAAGCCGTGTTATGCGGACTTCAATGGAAGAAAAATGTCTCGTCTACTTACAGGAGGTAATTATATTTGGAAATAACTTTCCAAGAAACTCTAAAACAATTTAGGTTCGGTATTTGATCGTTTCAGGAAGGCTTAACTGAAATTAAAACATAAGTGTTTTATTTAAAGAAGCCATCTCGGTCGATGGCACAAAAGACGATCAAGTCAAAATTGCCGCGATCCAGAATCGAGGCATATGCATTGCCTACACATACAAAATACACATACGTGTACTCAATTAGAAGCTGACAAATTAGTAGCTGAAAATTCAGTTGCCGATTTGGTACACCTTTGTGTATCCATACAGACCAGGGATGCTAATGCGATTCCAACTTATTTTCAAATTATGCCAGCTTTTAAAAATTGCTAAGCCCCTTACTGCACCTTACAGACTAATCTGATGGTTTGATTGAAAGATTCAATAGAACTTTACATCTGATGTTACCTACGTTTGTCGATGAAAATCAGAGTGAAGGAGATGATCATCTCTTATATTAAACAATGGCATATAGCTATAGAGCAGTGATGCAAGAGAGCACAAAGTATACCCCAAAACGAATAATTCTGTGGTAGATACAATGGCCTTGTTTGCAAATGCTATCTGTCTTTTAGTCGAATGTTAACTGACGTCTTTTATACAAATTAGGCCATTATTTCCACACTAAATTTTCTACGGATTTTCCGTTTATTCGATCATAAGGGGCTGTTACCGGTGGACAGGGGATGCTTAACGGTACTCCTCCTTGTCACCTGATCCCACCTCCGTTTTCAGAGGTCTGTTTGACTTCTCACAATTTGCATCGCTACATGGTCCTTTGAACATGCAGCAATATACCATTATCATCTCCATATGGGGTTTATAACTCTCAGTTGATTCGATAGCAAGAGCATGCTCTACGTATAAACTATTTCTAAAACGAGGTAAGTTATTGACAAACAGGTTGATGAAATAAGAATATCAACAGTTTCGTTTTTAGAAAGTCATCATTTCGTAAGTTCTATGGTCGATACAATAACCTTGTCAGCAAATACAACCTAATCATTAAGTCAAATTCTGACTGACGTTTTTCATACTAATTGTTAGGCCATTATTTACACTCTGAATTGTCAACGGATTTTCCGTTATATCCCGATCATGACAAGGAGTACACGGGGGGTGTGACAGGTCGGCAGGGGATGCTCACTCCTACATGGCACCTGATTCCACCTCTGATCTGTGAGAGGTCCGTGTTTGCTCTGCTCCTGATTTGTATTGTTTAAATAGAGTTTTGAGCTTGAATACTGTTCGTTAACTCCATATATTTCATTTCACATTTCATGCTTTAAAAGGGATTTTTACTACAGTGACAATAGAGGTTTTGCATTTTACCAAGACATTTCCCCCATAACAATTGCACCTACCAATAATTGTGTTCTTAAACATGTATTTATAATTAGTCATAACGTCTACAATTTCTCTGAATATGAAGGTTATTGAAAAAATTGTGATATTCTGTCAGATATGTCATATGTTTCCGATTAAATATAAGGCATCGATACTGTCTTAGTTTTCATATTGCTTTGAGTACACCCATTTCAACAAGTTAAACATAAATCAATTCTCATTCTTATAACAAGAAAGGCAAAGTACTTTTTTCAAAAACACACAGGACCGGTATAAACACGTTATGTATTTCTTTATGTATTTTATAGCTTTATGATAATAGGGCAAAGTTTAAATTTCTTGTACTTGTATTTTACACTGAATCCAAAAAAGACCGAGTTTGTTTTAATTTTCAGAAGTCTCAGTTATATTCTATATATTGTAATTTATCACTGATGATTATAATTCTTAAATTTTTCATTCAATCTCTAATATTCTACCATGCCCTCCCCATTGCCCCCACCCCATCCCCTTGAACAACTTTCTGATGCACCGAAGGAATTCCGGAAGCGTATCATGTATTAATGAAAACTTTTGTTGGATTTTAGGCTGTGTTTTTAAACCTCCATGGATAGAAAAAGAAATTGTTCTATACCATTGGCCATCAAAAATGTTTTAATTTCCTGTCAACTCTAAAGAGCGTACTCAGTAATACATATGTAATGCATAATTACGTAACGAAATCTCTTTACCTCCTTTGCTGAATTTCCATACATTGACCATGGTGAATAAAAAAATGCTGAAAGGTCTTATCGCCATCACGTGTTCTTTTCTATAAATAATGTACATTCTGTCATATATACCATGGATTAAAAATGTATACATAGTTAAATATGATTGTTGTTTATATAAAGATCGGTAAAATTTTGAACTAAGTTAGTTGTTACGATTCAAGTGTTCAGCTACGTTTAAATGAGCAAAGAAATGTTGACACAGTATTACTTACAGATTTTGCAACCTTACATCAGATTACAGACGACTAATCAATGTATATGTCCAAATGAATATTTCCTGTCTGTACCTGACGCATTTCTGCATGGAGGTGTAATGAAATAACAGTGGGTGTTAACCATTTTAACCATCGGCTGAATAGCAAACATTAGCCACGTCAAACCTTTTCTGGGGCATTGGTGCATAGAAATGAAAAAATAAAACACCATTGACGAAAATAATGTCGTTGACTTGAGTATCAGGTTTAAATATTTTTATGTAAAAAAATCGAGAGTTACAAAATAAATCGTGCAGAAATCTTTTAAAATAATGCCTTGTTTATAATCATAAGTGTACAAGCTAATGACACATAGAATCCTATGTATGCTTAAAAAGTTGTTTAGAAGCTTTTCAACCATGCATTTCAATCTCAGTGATAAACTTCATTTGGATCTTGGAACAAGAATGAAGAAATGATCGAGTTTCCTTTGTATGTTTACCTTTTACACTTGGGTGGTTTAAATAGTATACAGAAGGCAGTACAGGGGATTTGATGCATGCCTTCCCTTTAAAAAGAAGCATCAGATTTTCAATTGAACTTGATATCTGATCAAAATATATTCAGTAACATTATCGTTTTTCAATTAATGATTTTATGCATAACTGCATTATATATTAAAGATACGCTGATCATGGAAATGTCACTACTGCTTTACAACCAAGCAAGGCAAATTATTTACATCTATAAATGCATAAAATCCTGGCCCCCAATTTTTAATTGAATAAAAAAAAACTTAACATGCATAAAGTCAAAATAAGCATATATTGTTAAGCGAAAGAGTATTTAATGATTCTTTTTCACGAGTGTAAAAACAGCCCATAATTCATGATCATATGTATATTTTTTAATTAAATGTCTTTAAATTAAATGTAAATAAAAGAGTTAAGATTTACGAGTATATTTTTCCCTTTTGCTTCGTTGCGTTTGGCACCGAAGTGAATAAGGTTACATGTAATTTCGTGTTACACGCAAAGTCTGTCATCAAATTATGGGGACGTTATTCAGTAAAACACGCTCATAATGAATTGACGCTTACAGTGAAGTGATTTTCATTCCCTGTGACTTTAAACTGTATTGTGATACTAACGGATATAACGAACTATGTTTATAACGAGTCGAAATCATTTGTCCCTGGCACTTCGTTATAAGCGTGTTTTACTGTATTTGATTTATGTGATGAATTCTTTCAAAATAAATCCAGAAGCTAGTATAAGTTTTTTTTTTTAAATTCCTCATTAAATAATGATTCTGAATTATTTTAAAATGCTAATATATGCAAGTCTAAGCCTGAACTTCAAATTGACAATAATTATATTGTTCCTGTTTCTCACCTGATACGAACAGAGTTACAGCTCTGAACCGACAAAAAAGTTAACGGGGTTACAGCTCTCAATGCTGTCTGTGGTATTACCATTATACCATATACTATTGGGGTTAGCGTTCAGAACAGTAACACCAGACGCAATACGGAAAGCCTCGCTCTCTTTCGCACAGAACGTATTGCGCGCGGATTACTTTTAAAAAATCATTATATATATATATATATATATATATATATATATATATATATATATATATATATATATATATATATATATATATATAAAATAAAAAAAAAAACGAACACATATGATTCGTAATATTGCTCTATATGTATTCATACCTTTTTTTTTTAAATTATTTTAGTCTTCTATATTTAAAATACATTCAGTTTGATTTTTTTTTTTCAAGCTCTTACGTATATTCATGCACAATACTTAAATCAGAATCAGTAGAAATATTTCATGTGCATCAAACACATTATCAATTTAAAGCTTAAGTCAGGATTTACGTTAATTGTATTCATTATAGATCCATATTGCATAAATTATATAGGTCCTAACATTTAGTATATGGTTGTACTTAAAGCATAGACCGTATATTATTTATAAAAATAATAAATATTGTACATGTATTTTTTAAAACTCCTCTATACGTATAATTTGTTCAGAATTACAAATTAATATAAATGATTAAAGGCTAATCAGCTGTTGGTGGCTTATATATAGATTTGACTGTGATAGAAATAATATACATATTTTTTAATTATAAACCATAAAAATTTCTACATTTGTTATTTTATAAAAGTAGGACGTTCACGTCATGCAGAGAAAATAAAAAAAAACTGCAGATGTAGCACGGTGCAGTATAACAGACTGGTATAAAGGACCCCCCCCCCCCCCCCAAAAAAAAATCCTCGCTGCTTCTCTGAGTAGTGGTATTATCGATGAAACAATACAACATGAATATCTCTGCGTGATAAATTAACACTTCCTAATGAAATACCCACAAAATTATGGGTCATCTTTAATTGCACTCTGTAGGATACATAGGCCTATCTGTTTAATGTCTCTGTTATCCGTACCCATTGTGAAGTCACGTGATAAGATGGAGCTTGAGAACGGTCACGTGGATGGACACCAGTACCATGGGTCAAAGGCGCAGGCATACCTTTCTGCAACATTTGTCAACAGTCCAGTAGAAGGTAAGAAAATGTTTTAACAGCTGATTGAAAAGGGGGCTCGTTTTAATCGTTCTCATCCTCCTTACTAGGTACTAACTCGAGGAAAGTTGAAGCCACGCTTTTCAAAAGTTTTGTCCCTTGGCCGCCATCTTTCTCAATTCCCATCTAGGCCTTATCTCAGCGAGCTTCGTAGAGACTAAAAATTTTGGTCTGGTGACCGCAGAGACACCGTACCAACACTTTTAGTCTCTACGAATCTCGCTGAGATTAATCTAGGCCTATAGGTCTATGTAGAGAACCCTTTGCAACTTTTGTCTTTTAACATGTTTTACAGGAAAAAGGTCTTTGCTTCTTGTATTTTGATTTCCCAAGAACATGGGTCATTGAAAAAAAAAAAAATTAATGACAGTACGCCCTTTTCAATTGAAAAAACCCCCCGCCAAATTGGGGGGGGGGCGCAATACATCATGAAGTTTCTACATCTTTAAGGAAGGGAAATATAGATTAAATTATGACACTTTTTTTAACATGTTTAAAAAATCTTTTTCTATTATAGACCTAGTCTATTTAGTAGCCTACTTTGTAACCAAAAATAAACCAAAATGAATATTTTCACTTTTTTTTTAAATTCTTACAAAAAAGATTTCTATATTCAAAATAAGTTTTGCTATTTTGTCTTTGCAAATACCCTTATATTTATGTATTGATTTATCATATCATGTGTATCCCCCACTGCATCACAATATATATTGTTGCACCCTAAATCATTTCTTTTGATCCTTTTGACCTTTTGGTTGACCCAACACAAAGCCACAACTTTTGAAAAGATGAATTTGCAAAGTAAGGACTAGCCTCTACAATGTATTTACCCACAGCCACATGACACTTGCTCACACCTATGTCTGACTTAACCCCATCTATCAATATTTTGTAATATTAAATTAAATTCAACATTACTTATTCATTTGTATTTATCAGACCTGAAGGAAGCAATTTCAGTTTAGAGGAGGGAGTACAATCATATATTTTCAGTTGGGGAGGGGGCACCACCAAGAATTCCATAACAAGCCATAAAAAGAACTAGTCCGTTGTTAGTTGTAGTCGTTTTTGTTGTTGTCATTTTTATTAATTCCAGTGAAGTGTACCTTTTTGCATTACGACACAACCTATGAGGACAGCTGCACTCAAGGTAAATAGTAGTCTCTCCTTATCCCTGATTGGTTGCTTGTGCAACAGACTATTTCCGTGTCAATGTTGACAAAATGATTTGACCAATCACACAGTTCTTATACCGGGGGCGTGAATTGTTTACGCTGGGTGCATCTGTCGAGATAGATTGTCACGTAATGCCAAATGGCACACTTCACTGAAATTGATAATAACTTTTTTACAATTGCATCCTCTTCTCCAGAAACACTGGGCCACTTTCAACAAGTTTGTTTTGGTAAAGGGGATTCAAATTTGTTCAAATAAAGGGCCACACTCTCTTCCAAGGAGAGGTAATGAAGAAATAGTAAAAAGTTAGGGTCATTTAAAAATCTTTAAAAATCTTCTTCTCAAGAACTATTTGGGCCAGAAAAGAAGAATTTTTTTTTTCAAGTCATGACCCCCAGAGGTAGGTCAGGGCCACTTTGGGCAAACAAAGTTTTACATTGGTATATATAGGAAAAATCTTTTCAAATCTTCTTAAAAACAGCATAGTCATGATCAGTCATATTTAAAAAGAAACATTCTCAGGTAGTGTAGATTTTAAATTTATTACATTCATGACCCCCAGGGGAAGGGTGGGGCCAAAATTGGCAATCAAAGTATTGCATAGGAAAACAAAGGAAATATTTTTAAAAAGCCTTTTCCAAGGAACAGCATAGTCATGATTAGTCATAATATGTAGGCATCCTCATGTAGTGTAGATTCAAGTTTGTTCAAATCATGACCTTGGGCATAGGGTGGAGCCATAATGGGCAATTGGAATACATATAAGAAAAAATGCTTGAAAATCTCTTCAAGAACAGGAAAACCATGATAGTCATATTTACATGGAAGCATTCACAGATAGTGTAGATTGAAGTTTGTTCACATCATAAACCCCGGGGATAGGGTGGGGCTACAACTGGCAATTTATATTGGAATGTATCACACAATTGAAAGATGAATCTGCTGATTAAGAACAGGAAGAGCTCAGATGATCCCATGGGCCTCTTGTTTATTGTGGGGACACGAGCATATTTATACAAAATATAGTAGCTTTGTTTTCTATAATATTCTATATCATTATGTCTGCAAAAAAAAAATTGTTGGGGGGACACAGGCCCCTCCCCCCTTTCTTATGCCCATGTTCATCACTATTATGTATTGATAGCTAGATCCCATATTTTAAGATAAGGTATTATTTAGACATAATTTTTTTTTTTTTTGATTTATGTTAACATTTACATATTAACATTCTCTACAGCTTGGTTACATTCTGAGGATCAGATAGTGAAGCAGTGGCTATGTCAAGGTCAAATAATTATTTGAAATCATTGTCATAT